ACTGGGGAATTGTCATGCTGAAACAGGAAAGGGCCTTCCCCAAACTGTTGCCACAAAGTTGGAAGCACAGAATCGTCTAGAATTTCATTGTATGCTATAGCATTAAGATTTCACTGGAATTAAAGGGTCTAGCCCGAACCACCTCCACCAAACTTTACAGTCAGCACTATGCATTCGGGCAGGTAGTGTTCTCCTGGCATCCGCCAAACCCAGATTCGTCCGTCGGACTGCCAGATGGTGAAGCATGATTCGTCACTCCAGAGAACGCGTTTCCACTGCTCCAGAGTCCAATGGCGGCAAGTTTTACACCACTCCAGCCGACGCTTGGCATTGCGCACGGTGATCTTAGGCTTGTGTGCTGCTGCTCGGCCATGGAATCCCATTTCATGAAGCTCCCGATGAACAGTTCTTATGCTGACGTTGCTTCCAGAGGCAGTTTGTAACTCGGTAGCAAGTGTTGCAACCGAGGACAGATGATTTTTCAGCACTCGGCGGTCCCGTTCTGTGAGCTTGTGTGGCCTACCACTTCGCGGTCAGGACAGCTCTAGCAGGGCAGAAATTTGACAAACGGACTTGTTGGAAAGGTGGCATCCTCCACGTTGAAAGTCACTGAGGTCTTCAGTAAGGCCATTCTACTGCCAATGTTTGTCTATGGAGATTGCATGGCGGTGTGCTTGATTTTATACACCTGTCAGCAACGGGTGTGGCTGAAATAGCCGAATCAACCAATTTGGCTATTCTCTAATATTACAGCAATAACTGTACACAGAGGATATTCTCTTTAAAATTACAGCAATAACTGTACACAAAGAGGGAGGCTATTCTCTTTAAAAACCTCTTAAATGTTACTAGATATAATCAAAAATGTAATCTACGTAATTACTTATCATGAGGGCCATAAACAATAACTAGTAATCCTGCATTCTCCAAGAACGGTTTCAATCTCACCTTTCTGGTAAAAAAGAGTTATACATTGCTGAGGTGTAGTCACTTTTGAGAACACAAGCTCAAGTACACAGAACAAATATGAGAAAAATATGAAATATTTGATATTCTGTATTTCCTATTCAACAAAACGAATAAGGCATTAAATGACATATTTTTCCTAAATATAGTATAATCAATTTATAAAGCGACTAACTATAAGATGTCACCTTCCTTATAACTGTAAAATACATATTTGTAGATTTAGTGTTAGAGAAAATTTGCATATTTTCTAAAGGTCTCTCTTGATCAAAACGTCTGCTCCCATTAAATCTATTAATTATTTTTGATTACTGGCTACAATTCGATCTCTGAACGTGTTACAGCGTGGAAACCACTCTCTCCCGCTACATTACGACGTAAGGATTCCAGACATACGGGGTTTCAGCCAGGAATTGATGGACAGTCGGAACAGCGAATGAAATGGTAGGAGGGATAACCCGGGTTCAAGTGGCGTCAGATTTCACATCCTGCTTCACACAGGCAGACGAAACATACTCCCGTGTCCGTGAGAATCAGGGCTACCGCTCAATGCAAGCCATTTCGATCTTTGGTGTCCACATATCGATTTATAAGCGAAAATGTTGGTAGGAACTGGTACCACGCAGGTCACCAAAACAGAGCCTTACATCTAAGAGGTTTTAGAATTACAGCAATAACTGTACACAGAGGATATTCTCTTTAATATTACAGCAATAACTGTACACAGAGGATATTCTCTTTAATTTTACAGCAATAACTGCACACAGAGGCTATTCTCTTTAATATTACAGCAATAACTGTACACAGAGGATATTCTCTTTAATATTACAGCAATAACTGCACACATAAGAGTTATGACTCTATTCTCTGGAATATTATAGCCATAGCTTATTACAATATTATTATTCAATATTACAGCCATATCTTACATTGTACATGTCCATCCTCCTCCCAGACAGACTGATGCTGCTGATTCATATCAATAAGGAAATAATGAGACACAGGTGTTTTCCCTTTATGGGTGTTGAAGAGGTGAGAAACATCGCCCCCGCCTGGTCAACAGACTGCGTTACAACACCAGAGAGAAGCAGTCCAATGTTCAGGGTCGTAAGATTAATTAGTGCACACCCTTTCAAAATCTAGCATATCGTTTTGCAATGAAAATTATGATTTTTTTATTGGTCAAGTCCAGGAACAACCCTTCCTGTTTCAACCAGTTTTCTTATGTTTGGTGCCTAATGAATAGGACCCAGCTGTGTTGAGTTGGCAGCCTGTGATGATGACCTCCAGAGAGACTAGCCCTGTTGTTAATATTCACATCAACACATAATAAATTCAATAGTGACATAATGGTTGAGATATTGTAGATTTTGTTTCTTTCAGTGTGCTGAAATGCAACATGGTTCACTCAATGTTTTCTGTTCTGATTGGTCCTTCAGGTGATTCAGGAGAATCTGACTCCAGATCAGCGGAACCTTTGGAACCCACTGAAGATTCTAGAACAGCCAGTGAATATTTTAGAAGAGAGAAGGAAGGGAATCCGGAACATTGTTCAGGTTAGGAATGTAACCAAACACTATTCCATTTCCTGTTCAATGGCAATAAACTTCCAAAGACATCGCTCTGTCTCGATAAGAAGGGGTTGCGTCCCAAATGTTACCCAAAAGTAGTGCACTAAATAGGGAATAGGGTGTTAGTTACTGAATAGTTGATAGGTATTCCATAGTGCCTTTCACTACAGTAGCATGTCCCCTTGTGTATGTTTTGAGGATTTATTCTTTATTATAAACTGGGTGGTTCGAGCCCTGAATGCTGATTGGCTGAAAGCCGTGGTATATCAGACCGTATACCACGGGTATAACCCCAAAAATATTTGTACTGTTCTAATTACATTGGTAACTAGTTTATAGTAGCAATAAGGCACCCCAGGGGTTTATGGTATATGGCCAATTTACCACGGCTAAGGGCTGTATTCAGGCACTGTGTTGCGTCATGCTTATGAACAACCCTTAGCCGTGGTATATTGGCCATATACCACACCTCCAGGGCCATATACCACACCTCCAGGGCCATACACCACACCTCCTCGGGCCTTATTGCTTAAGCATATACTTGATGAATATGTTATGATCAAGATGAACAATCAACCTGCCTTTCTGAGAGAAGGTAACTGGATGCAGGAGTTTAAAAAAACAGCACGTCCCAAATGTCACCCTATTCCCAATGGTGTCTGGTCAACAGTAGTGCACTAGGTAGGGAACAGGGTGACATTTAAAGGAAAACTCCACCCCAGAAACCCTCTTCTGGTGTTTGTGTCATTAGTCCATTGTTCATATAGTGCCAAAATGTTTTGCATGTCAGCAATCAAGTTTTCAACATATATAACTTTCAAAATACAGAAATATAGCCAGTAATGATGCATTTTGCATCATATGATGCTGCGTTTTGCACTGTTGAATATCAACTGGAGGAGGAAACAGTAAAATACAGCCAGTAGAATAAGGTCAGGAATGGTTCAATATATTAACTATACATGTAATGTGTTGAGAACCATGTTAGCTGATCAAAGGCTGGGGAGGGATATGGAGAGGTATGGGGGGGTTATGGAGAGGTATGGGGGGTGTTATGAGGTGGAAGGGGGGGGGGGGGGGGGTGTGGAGGGGTAGGGAGGGTGTGAGGGGGAGGTGTTATGGAGGGGTGGGGGGAGGTTTGGAGGGGTGGGGGTTTTGGAGGGGTGGGGGGTATGGAGGGGTGGGTGGGGGGGGGGTATGGGGGGGGTGTCTTGGGGGTGTGTGTCAGGTTCGGGGGGGGGGGGGGGGGGGTGTTATGGGGGGGGGGGTGGGGGTGTTTCGGGGGGTGGGGGGTGTTTGGGGGGTGGGGGGGTTTGGGGGTGTGGGGGGTGTTGGAGGGGTGGGGGGGGTGTTATGGGGGGGAGGGGGGCTGGGGGGGGGGGGGGTGTTATGGGGGGGTAAGGGGGGGTGGGTTATGGAGGGTAAGGGGGGTTTGGGGGGTGGGAGTGGGGGGGGTGGGGGGTTGGGGGTGTTTGGAGGGGTAAGGGGGGGGTGTTCTGGGGGGTGGGGGGGGTGTTATGGAGGGGGGGGGGGTGTTATGGAGGGGTGGGGGGGGTTAGGGGGGTAGGGGGTTTATGGAGGGGTGGGGGGGTGTTATGGAGGGGTAAGGGGGAGGTTATGGAGGGGTATGGGGGGATGGAGGGGTAGGGGGGTTAGGGGGGGGGGGGTTATGGAGGGGTAAGGGGGGTGTTATGGAGGGGTAAGGGGGGGGGGGGGGTTCAGCACGAACAGCTGAAAACAAACCTGCCGAACAACAAACGAACCAAAACGTCACAAAATTTCGTCATAATATATGCGCAAACTGTTTTGACTGGGAAGCATGCGACAGAAATAAAAGGTAGGGGGGTGTGCAGTGCTCCAAGTCTCTCTCTCTCAGCTTCTGTCTGAAGTGTCGGTCACTGAAAAGGTCTCAAAAACAAAGCTATCGAAGCTCTCCAGTGTTTTTGTATCGAAGCTCTCCAGTTATATATATATATATATAAACTGAAAAACACTGGAGAGCTTCGATAGCTTTGTTTTTGCATGTCAGCAATCAAGTACAGTACATACAGCTAACTGTAGGACCATGTTTATCCTTATGTTCTCCTCCAAAAATACAAAAAGTCCACATTTCCTTCCACGTCTTGAATGAGCTGCTCTTCTCTTCTCGACAGTTCTGACAACTTCTCAGCTCGTTCAGTTCAACCAACTCAGCTCGTTCAGTTCAACCAACTCAGTGAAACAGACACACAACAAGCAGTGCTGTTCTAAACCCGTTCCTCTGAGCCAAGAACTAGGTCTGAGTGTACTTTATGCGTGTGTGAGAGTGTACTTTATGCGTGCGTGTGAGTGTACTTTATGCGTGCGTGTGGCTGTACTTTATGCGTGCGTGTGAGTGTACTTTATGCGTGCGTGTGACTGTACTTTATGCGTGTGTGTGAGTGTACTTTATGCGTGCGTGTGAGTGTACTTTATGCGTGTGTGTGAGTGTACTTTATGCGTGCGTGTGAGTGCGTTGGAGTGTGTGTTTGTTCATTGTGCGTGTCTGAGTATGGGCCGGGTGGGGCTGCATGCAGACAGGTCTGTGACCAGTCCTTATGTCTCGAAAGGGTCATGAAACTATGTACAGCTGTTCCCAGATCAGTCCTTAGGTCTGTAGGAGAGTTGAGCCTCATATAGGGCTCACTTGAAGAAGAAGTCAATCTCAAAGTGAGTTCCCTGGTTAAATAGCTGTCCGTAGGTCAGTCGTTAAGAGTTTAGTGGTGCGTACTTCACTAGGATTCACTTCAGCAGGGTTCAGGGGCTATGAGGAGTAGTCACACAGGATAACAGCTGCTGGAGGTCAAGGTTTGGAGATGTGCACTTCGCTGGCCCCGGTGCCGTTGGTAGTGGTGGTGATGATGTACTGTGTGGTGGGCTGCTGGGAGGAGGTCTGGGTGTCCAGGTGGGTCTGGGCCGAGCTCTGGGGGCCGCTGGCCTGCTTAGGGTCCAACTCAGACTGGCCCTCCGAAATCACATAGTGGGTCTGGAACAAGATGAGATGGTACAACAGTTAGAATACACAGACCACCACACCACCATACACCACACCACCATACACCACCATACACCACCATACACCACACCACTATACACCACACCACCATACACCACACCACCATACACTACACCACCAGTACACCCAAACATACACCACAGCCACCCATACACCACACCACCAGTACCCTACACCACCATAACCACCCACACACACCATAACACCAAACACCACCCATACCAACACCACACCACCATACCCACACCCATACACCACCATACACCACACACCATACACCACACACCACACCACCATACACCACACCACCATACACTACACCACCATACACCACACCACCATACACTACACCACCATTCACCACACCACCATTCACCACACCACCACCACTATACACCACACCACCACCACCATACACCACCACCACACCACCATACACCACCACCACACCACCATACACCACCATACACCACACCACTATACACCACCACCATACACCACCACCACCATACACCACCACCACAACATGCAACTCATGTATATACTTGATGAATATGTTATGATCAAGATGAACAATCAACCTGCCTTTCTGAGAGAAGGTAACTGGATGCAGGAGTTTAAAAAAAACAGCGCGTCCCAAATGTCACCCTATTCCCAATGGTGTCTGGTCAACAGTAGTGCACTAGGTAGGGAACAGGGTGACATTTAAAGGAAAACGCCACCCCAGAAACCCTCTTCTGGTGTTTGTGTCATTAGTCCATTGTTCATATAGTGCCAAAATGTTTTGCATGTCAGCAATCAAGTTTTCAACATACAGTGAGGGAAAAAAGTATTTGATCCCCTGCTGATTTTGTACGTTTGCCCACTGACAAAGACATGATCAGTCTATAATTTTAATGGTAGGTTTATTTGAACAGTGAGAGACAGAATAACAACAAAAAAATCCAGAAAAACGCATGTCAAAAATGTTATAAATTGATTTGCATTTTAATGAGGGAAATAAGTATTTGACCCCTCTGCAAAACATGACTTAGTACTTGGTGGCAAAACCCTTGTTGGCAATCACAGAGGTCAGACATTTCTTGTAGTTGGCCACCAGGTTTGTACACATCTCAGGAGGGATTTTGTCCCACTCCTCTTTGCAGATCTTCTCCAAATCATTAAGGTTTCAAGCCTGACTTTTGGCAACTCGAACCTTCAGCTCCCTCCGCAGATTTTCTATGGGATTAAGGTCTGGAGACTGGCTAGGCCACTCCAGGACCTTAATGTGCTTCTTCTTGAGCCACTCCTTTGTTGCCTTGGCCGTGTGTTTTGGCTCATTGTCATGACCTCACCCTCTCACCGTCCCCCCCTACTCACAAGGCAGGCAATACGCTTGACCTCATCTTTACTAGATGTTGTTCTTCTACTAATCTCACTGCAACTCCCCTCCAAGTCTCCGACCACTACTTTGTATCCTTTTCTCTCTCGCTCTCCTCCAACACTACTCACTCTGCCCCTACTCGGATGGTAATGTGCCGTCGCAACCTTCGCTCTCTCTCTCCCGCTACTCTCTCCTCTTCCATCCTATCATCTCTTCCCTCTGCTAAATCCTTCTCCCTCCTCAACCCTCCTCTCCTCCCTTTCTGCATCTTTTGACTCTCTATGTCCCCTATCCTCCCGGCCGGCTCGGTCCTCCCCTCCTGCTCCGTGGCTTGACGATTCATTGCGAGCTCACAGAACAGGGCTCTGGGCAGCCGAGCGGAAATGGAGGAAAACTAGACTGTCATCTTTCCACTCCCTCCTCTCTACATTCTCTTCCTCCGTTTCTGCTGCTAAAGCCACTTTCTACCACTCTAAATTTCAAGCCTCTGTCTCTAACCCTAGGAAGCTCATTGCCACCTCTCCTCCCTGCTGAATCCTCCTCCTCCTCCCCCTCCCTCCTCCCTCTCTGTGGATGACTTATAATAATAATAATAATTGGTCATTTAGCAGACGCTCTTATCCAGAGCGACTTACAGGAGCAATTAGGGTTAAGTGCCTTGCTCAAGGGCACATCGACAGATTTTTCACCTAGTCGGCTCGGGGATTAGAACCAGCGACCTTTCGGTTACTGGCACAACGCTCTTCACCACTAAGCTACCTGCCTTCATCAACCATTTTGAAAAGAAGGTTGACGACATCCGATCCTCATTTATTAAGCCATGTGTTTTGGGTCATTGTCATGCTGGAATACCCATCCACGACCCATTTTCAATGCACTGGCTGAGGGAAGGAGGTTCTCACCCAAGATTTGACGGTACATGGCCCCGTCCACCGTCCCTTTGATGTGGTGAAGTTGTCCTGTCCCCTTAGCAGAAAAACACCCCCAAAGCATAATGTTTCCACCTCCATGTTTGACAGTGGGAATGGTGTTCTTGGGGTCAACGGCAGCATTCCTCCTCCTCCTCCAAACACGGCTAGTTGAGTTGATGCCAAAGAGCTATTTTGGTCTCATCTGACCACAACACTTTCACCCACTTCTCCTCTGAATCATTCAGATGTTCATTGGCAAACTTTAGACGGGCCTGTATATGTGCTTTCTTGAGCAGGGGGACCTTGCGGGCGCTGCAGGATTTCAGTCCTTCACGGCGTAGTGTGTTACCAATTGTTTTCTTGGTGACTATGGTCCCAGCTGCCTTGAGATCATTGACAAGATCCTCCCGTGTAGTTCTGGGCTGATTCCTCACCGTTCTCATGATCATTGCAACTCCATGAGGTGAGATCTTGCATGGAGCCCCAGGCCGAGGGAGATTGACAGTTCTTTTGTGTTTCTTCCATTTGCGAATAATCGCACCAACTGTTGTCACCTTCTCACCAAGCTGCTTGGCGATGGTCTTGTCTCCCAACTCCCTACTGGGCTAGTCTCCCTACTGGGCTAGTCTCCCTACTGGGCTAGTCTCCCTACTCCCTACTGGGCTAGTCTCCCTACTGGGCTAGTCTCCCTACTGGGCTAGTCTCCCTACTGGGCTAGTCTCCCTACTGGGCTAGTCTCCCTACTGGGCTAGTCTCCCTACTGGGCTAGTCTCCCTACTGGGCTAGTCTCCCTACTGGGCTAGTCTCCCTACTGGGCTAGTCTCCCTACTGGGCTAGTCTCCCTACTGGGCTAGTCTCCCTACTCCCTACAGCTACATGAAGTATACCCACTGAGAAGCACACAGTTTATTGTTAACCAAGAGAAGAGGCAACTTGCTAGACTCTCTCTACTAACTCACCGTCTTGACCCCAGCACTGTTGACCCCTGTGACAGGAGTGCTGGCCTCAGCGATCACGTACTGGGTATGAGGCAACGTCATCATCTGAATCTCAGAGGCTGGAGAGAGAGTGAGAGAGCGAGAGAGAGAGCGAGAGAGAGAGAGAGAGAGAGCGAGAGAGAGAGAGAGAGAGAGAGAGATGGAGCAGACAGTCAGTCAGTATAATGTCTCTGTCGGTTCAATATACTGGAAGGCTGCGGTCATAATCTCTAACCATTTCTCTCCCGATGTGTGCCCTCATTCACTCCGTCTCATTTAATAAGAAGGGACATTCCCTAGAGCTCAACTTGGATTTAATAGGAAGGGACATTCCCTCGAGCTCAACTTGGATTTAATAGGAAGGGACATTCCCTACAGCTCAACTTGGATTTAATAGGAAGGGACATTCCCTCGAGCTCAACTTGGATTTAATAGGAAGGGATATTCCCTACAGCTCAACTTGGATTTAATAGGAAGGGATATTCCCTACAGCTCAACTTGGATTTAATAGGAAGGGATATTCCCTCGAGCTCAACTTGGATTTAATAGGAAGGGATATTCCCTACAGCTCAACTTGGATTTAATAGGAAGGGACATTCCCTCGAGCTCAACTTGGATTTAATAGGAAGGGATATTCCCTACAGCTCAACTTGGATTTAATAGGAAGGGATATTCCCTACAGCTCAACTTGGATTTAATAGGAAGGGACATTCCCTCGAGCTCAACTTGGATTTAATAGGAAGGGACATTCCCTACAGCTCAACTTGGATTTAATAGGAAGGGACATTCCCTCGAGCTCAACTTGGATTTAATAGGAAGGGATATTCCCTACAGCTCAACTTGGATTTAATAGGAAGGGATATTCCCTACAGCTCAACTTGGATTTAATAGGAAGGGATATTCCCTCGAGCTCAACTTGGATTTAATAGGAAGGGATATTCCCTACAGCTCAACTTGGATTTAATAGGAAGGGACATTCCCTCGAGCTCAACTTGGATTTAATAGGAAGGGACATTCCCTCGAGCTCAACTTGGATTTAATAGGAAGGGATATTCCCTACAGCTCAACTTGGATTTAATAGGACGGGATATTCCCTACAGCTCAACTTGTGTAAACTTCCTCTAACCCTAACCCAATCCAATGCTTTTAAATCCATTAGTGGGAGTGAGCAAAGGCATGCTATGAAAAAAAATCTTATTCTAAAATGGATTAAATAAAAAAAATCCTCATCCATCTACACACAATACCCCATAATGACAAAGCAAGAAAGAAAACAGAAATACATTATTTATATAAGTATTCAGACCCTTTGCTATGAGACTCAAAATTGAGCTTAGATGCATCCTGTATCCATTGATCATCCTTGAGATGTTTGGAACCACCAAGACTATTCCTAGAGCTGACCGTCCGGCCAAACTGAGCAATCGGGGGAGAAAGGCCTTGGTCAGGGAGGTGACCAAGAACCCGATGGTCAGCTCTAGAGTTCCTCTGTAGAGATGGGAGAACCTTCTAGAAGGACAACCATCTCTGCAGCACTCCACCAATTAGGCCTTTATGGTAGAGTGGCCAGACATAAGCCACTCCTCAGTAAAAGGCACATGACAGCCCACTTGGAGTTTGCTAAAAGGCACCTAAAGGACTCTCAGACCATGAGAAACAAGATTATGTGGTCTGATGAAACCAAGATTGAACTCTTTGGCCTGAATGCCAAGCGTCACGTCTGGAGGAAACCTGGCACCATCCCTACAGTGAAGCATGGTGGTGGCAGCGTCATGCTGTGGGGATGTTTTTCAGCGGCAGGGACTGGGAGACTAGTCAGGATCGAGGCAAAGATGAACGGAGCAAAGTACAGAGAGATCCTTGATAAAAATCTGCTCCAGAACGATCAGGACATCAGACTAAGGTGAAGGTTCACCTTCCAACAGGACAACAACCCTAAGCACACAGCCAAGACAACGCAGGAGTGTCTTCGGGACATGTCTCTGAATGTCCTTGAGTGGCCCAGCCAGAGCCCGGACTTGAACCCGATCTAACATCTCTGGAGAGACCTGAAAATAGCTGTGCAGCGACGCTCCCCGTCCAACCTGACAGAGCTTGAGAGGATCTGCAGAGAAGAATGGGAGAAACTCCCCAAATACAGGTGTGCCAAGCTTGTAGTGTCATACCCAAGAAGACTTGAGGCTGTAATCGCTGCCAAAGGTGTTACAACAACGTACTGAGTAAAGGGTCTGAATACTTATGTAAATTTCATTTCCATTTTTTTTTTATAAATATGCAAACATTTCTAAAAACCTGTTTTTGCTTTGTCATTATGGGATATTGTGTGTAGATTGATGAGGGGAAAAAAACAATTGAATCCATTTTAGAATAAGGCTGTAATGTAACAAAATGTGGAAAAAGTCAAGGGGTCTGAATACTTTCCGAAGCACTGTATATCATATGTTATAGCAATCTGGTGCATGCAGAGCCCAGCCCAAGCCAGGCAAAGGTACTCACGGTATCCTCGGTAGTTCCAGTTGCCGGGGATGTAGGCGTGTTGCACAGAGCCCTGCTGATTGGATGACGTCTGGAGGGCGTGACTCTGGGCCAGGGTCACGGGGGTCAGCTGGGCGGGGCTTAACTCCTGGGCCACCTGGGAGGAGGGGCTTAGAGGCTGACCCTGCAGGAACAACAGAGGACGATTGGTTGATAGTTGGATTGTTGGATTGATACTGACCTTGTTGAATGTACTGACTAAGTAGATCTGGATAAGAGCGTCTGCTGAATGACCAAAATGTAAAAGTAATATTTGCTTTAAAACATAGTACAGGTACAGAGTACAGTAATGAGTTAGTACTCCTAGTAGTAAGGAGTTAGCACCCCTAGTAGTAAGGAGTTAGTACCCCTAGTAGTAAGGAGTTAGTACCCTTAGTAGTAAGGAGTTAGTACCCCTAGTAGTAAGGAGTTAGTACCCCTAGTAGTAAGGAGTTAGTACCCTTAGTAGTAAGGAGTTAGTACTCCTAGTAGTAAGGAGTTAGTACCCCTAGTAGTAAGGAGTTAGTACCCCTAGTAGTAAGGAGTTAGTACCCCTAGTAGTAAGGAGTTAGTACCCCTAGTAGTAAGGAGTTAGTACCCCTAGTAGTAAGGAGTTAGTACACCTAGTAGTAAGGAGTTAGTACCCCTAGTAGTAAGGAGTTAGTACCCCTAGTAGTAAGGAGTTAGTACACCTAGTAGTAAGGAGTTAGTACCCCTAGTAGTAAGGAGTTAGTACCCATAGTAGTAAGGAGTTAGTAGCACTAGTAGTAAGGAGTTAGTACCCCTAGTAGTAAGGAGTTAGTACCCCTAGTAGTAAGGAGTTAGTACTCCTAGTAGTAAGGAGTTAGTACACCTAGTAGTAAGGAGTTAGTACCCCTAGTAGTAAGGAGTTAGAACCACTAGTAAGGAGTTAGTACCCCTAGTAGTAAGGAGTTAGTACCCCTAGTAGTAAGAAGTTAGAACCACTAGTAAGGAGTTAGTACACCTAGTAGTAAGGAGTTAGTACCCCTAGTAGTAAGGAGTTAGAACCACTAGTAGTAAGGAGTTAGTACCCCTAGTAGTAAGAAGTTAGAACCACTAGTAGTAAGGAGTTAGTACCCCTAGTAGTAAGGAGTTAGTAGCACTAGTAGTAAGGAGTTAGTACCCCTAGTAGTAAGGAGTTAGAACCACTAGTAAGGAGTTAGTACCCCTAGTAGTAAGGAGTTAGTACCCCTAGTAGTAAGGAGTTAGTACCCTTAGTAGTAAGGAGTTAGTAGCACTAGTAGTAAGGAGTTAGTACACCTAGTAGTAAGGAGTTAGTACCTCTAGTAGTAAGGAGTTAGTACCCCTAGTAGTAAGGAGTTAGTACCCCTAGTAGTAAGGAGTTAGTAGCACTAGTAGTAAGGAGTTAGTACACCTAGTAGTAAGGAGTTAGTACCCCTAGTAGTAAGGAGTTAGTACCCCTAGTAGTAAGGAGTTAGTACCCCTAGTAGTAAGGAGTTAGTACCCCTAGTAGTAAGGAGTTAGTAGCACTAGTAGTAAGGAGTTAGTACCCCTAGTAGTAAGGAGTTAGTACCCCTAGTAGTAAGGAGTTAGTGCTCCTAGTAGTAAGGAGTTAGTACACCTAGTAGTAAGGAGTTAGTACCCCTAGTAGTAAGGAGTTAGAACCACTAGTAAGGAGTTAGTACCCCTAGTAGTAAGGAGTTAGTACCCCTAGTAGTAAGAAGTTAGAACCACTAGTAAGGAGTTAGTACACCTAGTAGTAAGGAGTTAGTACCCCTAGTAGTAAGGAGTTAGAACCACTAGTAGTAAGGAGTTAGTACCCCTAGTAGTAAGAAGTTAGAACCACTAGTAGTAAGGAGTTAGTACCCCTAGTAGTAAGGAGTTAGTAGCACTAGTAGTAAGGAGTTAGTACCCCTAGTAGTAAGGAGTTAGAACCACTAGTAAGGAGTTAGTACCCCTAGTAGTAAGGAGTTAGTACCCCTAGTAGTAAGGAGTTAGTACACCTAGTAGTAAGGAGTTAGTACCCCTAGTAGTAAGGAGTTAGTACCCCTAGTAGTAAGGAGTTAGTACCCCTAGTAGTAAGGAGTTAGTACCCCTAGTAGTAAGGAGTTAGTACCCCTAGTAGTAAGGAGTTAGTACCCCTAGTAGTAAGGAGTTAGTACCCCTAGTAGTAAGGAGTTAGTAGCACTAGTAGTAAGGAGTTAGTAGCACTAGTAGTAAGGAGTTAGTACCTCTAGTAGTAAGGAGTTAGTACCCCTAGTAGTAAGGAGTTAGTACCCCTAGTAGTAAGGAGTTAGTACCCCTAGTAGTAAGGAGTTAGTAGCACTAGTAGTAAGGAGTTAGTACACCTAGTAGTAAGGAGTTAGTACCCCTAGTAGTAAGGAGTTAGTACCCCTAGTAGTAAGGAGTTAGTACCCTTAGTAGTAAGGAGTTAGAACCACTAGTAAGGAGTTAGTACCCCTAGTAGTAAGGAGTTAGTACCCCTAGTAGTAAGGAGTTAGTACACCTAGTAGTAAGGAGTTAGTACACCTAGTAGTAAGGAGTTAGTACCCCTAGTAGTAAGGAGTTAGTACACCTAGTAGTAAGGAGTTAGTACACCTAGTAGTAAGGAGTTAGTACACCTAGTAGTAAGGAGTTAGTAGCACTAGTAAGGAGTTAGTACCCCTAGTAGTAAGGAGTTAGTACCCCTAGTAGTAAGGAGTTAGTACCCCTAGTAGTAAGGAGTTAGTACCCCTAGTAGTAAGGAGTTAGTACACCTAGTAGTAAGGAGTTAGTAGCACTAGTAAGGAGTTAGCAGCACAAGTAAAGAGTTAGCAGCACAAGTAAAGAGTTAGAACCACTTGTAAAGAGTTAGAACCACTTGTAAAGAGTTAGAACCACTTGTAAAGAGTTAGAACCACTAGTAAAGAGTTAGAACCACTAGTAAAGAGTCAGTATTCTATCTTGCCAAATTACAGCGGCTAAGGCAGCAGTGTGAAGAGACTAGTGTTTACCTGCGTGTTCTGTCCTGCCTCTGACACCTGTATGTGTTGCACCTGTATGGAGTGTTGGCTGTAACCATGGGGATCATGGAGCTGGGAAACATCCACGGTGGAATGCTGGGAGTGGGGAGAGCCAGCCTGAGGGAAGAAGACGGAGACAGATAAGGTAAATAATGTTTTTACAGGCTGTACTTGGACCACCTGTAGCTGTATGTGTTGAGGCTGGTTGAAGGGGTAGGGGTTAGGGTCTTACCTGAACTTGGACCACCTGTAGCTGTATGTGTTGAGGCTGGTTGAAGGGGTAGGGGTTAGGGTCTTACCTGTACTTGGACCACCTGTAGCTGTATGTGTTGAGGCTGGTTGAAGGGGTAGGGGTTAGGGTCTTACCTGTACTTGGACCACCTGTTGCTGTATGTGTTGAGGCTGGTTGAAGGGGTAGGGGTTAGGGTCTTACCTGTACTTGGACCACCTGTAGCTGTATGTGTTGAGGCTGGTTGAAGGGGTAGGGGTTAGGGTCTTACCTGTACTTGGACCACCTGTTGCTGTATGTGTTGAGGCTGGTTGAAGGGGTAGGGGTTAGGGTCTTACCTGTACTTGGACCACCTGTTGCTGTATGTGTTGAGGCTGGTTGAAGGGGTAGGGGTTAGGGTCTTACCTGTACTTGGACCACCTGTAGCTGTATGTGTTGAGGCTGGTTGAAG